TTGAATCAATCTTGATATCTTGGGAATGTAGTGAAACAAAATAAACCTTGTCATGCCATCCCTTCCAAAACAACTTCAATGGTGAGGTTTGGACTTCTCAAGCTTTATTGCCTAGGGAATGAAAATAAACTCATGAACCCATGGAGAAACTTGCTAAATCTCATTGCCTTTACCTACATTAGTAACAAGCAAGCCAAACCAAAATTGCATTTTATTAATTAAAAGGAAAAATAAAGACAAGATATTCATGATCACAAAAGAAAACAAGTCAAGGTGTTTGGTGATTCCTCAAAGAGCAAACTAAAGGTGGGGAGGAGAACCAAGAACCCTAATGTGATCTTGTTGTGATTGAATCAATATGGTATGATGAAGGGATCTTAGGGGCAAAAATTGAGGTACAACACATGCATTGGTCAGTCATCCCATGCATTAACACCTGCATTTGCATGCATGCATAACATATCATAGCTCGAGACTTAGGACCCCGTAAAAATATAGAGTCAATTTATAGGAGAGTCACTATTACAATCTCTAACATCTCCCCGACTATCCCTCTGAGTATGTCTATGGCATAAGCATTCTTCGTCAAACTAAACCCTAAGCAGCCTTACGTACCATCGTCCAAGACGTGGGCAACTTCACACATTTTCTAATCTACGTTTCATAAAAGACGTGAGCATCCTCACACAACCTCATCTACTATTCATTCATAGGCAGCCATACGAGGCATGAGCAACCTCATGTATTCATCATTCGTCCTACGTAAGCAGCCTTATGTAAAAGTTATGAGAATCCTCACACTTTCCAATTAATGTCTCTAGGTAACCTTACCAATATTAGCAACCTTTCTATCCGGTTCACCTTTCCAAGCCACCGAGGTGATACTATTTAAGCAACCATATGGATATGGGTCAAAAGCCCAGTTCCCATCTGACCCATCTTTTCAAAAGCCCAATTACCGTTTGGCCCATCTTCTCAATTCCCGTCTGGCAGACCTTTTCAAAAACCCAACCCCTAATTGGCATGGCTTCTCAGAAATAATAAGTCTTGGCTAATAGTATGCCTTGAGCATTGGTTCCGCAGTTCAAATAACAGGGGAATTGCATTTATCAATCATCGCATCATTTCAATTCATAACATTATCATATCAAGCATACATACCATACATCATGCATACATCAAGCATAATCATATCAAACATGCATACATGCATTACATTCAATCATACATGCCCATAGAAAACTGCAGATAAATCTCAAGGCATGACTACCAGCTAAGACAAACTCAAATTCAAATCCAAGCTCAGCATTATCCATTCACCTTGCTATAGCTACCTCGGTTGACAACGGACACAATCGTCAAAGGTGCTGCTATCAAAATCTCACTAGGAAACTTACCTATGATTCGTATCCACGTCTACGCCTGCACCCACATCCACAATTACGCCTGCGCCTACAATACAAATGTCAAGACACTCTTCATCATGTCCACACCAATTCATAATGTTGTAGAATTGATAACTCAAAACCAATGGTTTAACAAAGGAGAATTATCAAAAACATTTTCAAACTACTTGAGGCATACACACTCAGCTAACATACACCATGGGTTCCATATCAATATCAGACATTCAAAACACATACACTCAGGGTTCCATATCAATATCAAACATTCAATACACATACACTCAGGGTTCCATATCAATATCAGACATTTAACACACAGGGTTCCATATCAATATCAAACATACGCTCAGGGTTTCATAGCAAAATCAGACGGCATACACATGCGTCATACAGCAAACAAATAATTTCACCCTCGATTTAGCCATCTAAGGGTCAATCATCAAAGCACACTTCTTCTACAAATCCAACCCATCACTTAAGACTCCATGCAGTGATGTGTTCATCCCATCACCTAAGACTCCATGCAGTGTTGTGTTCCTTACAACGTAGCATTACCTAAGTCTCCATGCAGTAATGTGCGAAACCCAGTGTATTACATAAGTCTCCATGCAGTAATGTACAAAACCCAGTATGTTGCCTAAGACTCCACGTCGCAATGTTCGAAAGCCAAATAAGATCCACCACCTAAGACTCCATGTTGTGACGTGTTCATCCCATCACCTAAGACTCTATGTTGTGATGTTTTCCCTCTACAATGTAGTTCATTACCTCAGACTCCATGCAGTAATGTGCGAAGCTCGGTACATTGCCTAAGACTCCATGCAGTGATGTATTCCCCTCATCTAGACCATTACCTAAGACCCTAGGCAGTAACGCGTGCAACTTAGTTCATTGCCTAAGACCCCAGGAAACAGTGTAACATAACCCATTGTCTAAGACTCCATGCAACGACGTGTTTCCCTTCCTTTACCCATTACCTAAGACCCCAGGCCGTAATGCGCAAGACTTAGATCATTTCCTAAGACTCCATGCAGCAGTGTTTGAAACCCAAATTTAGCTCATCGCCTAAGACTCCATACAATGATTCGCAAACCTAACCAATTGCCTAAGACTCCCTGCAGCAGTGCGTTTCCTGATCCTCAACATAGATCATTGCCTAAGACTCCATGCAGCGATGCTCGAAAGAAAAATCTAGCATGTCGCCTAAGTCTCCATGCAGCGACTCACGAACATAACTCATTGCCTCAGTCTCCAAGCAGCCATGCGTTATCAGGTTTTGTCGTATTCATCCCCCCAAATGGATGAATAAGCAAAATGAAACCAAGACATACAAGATTTCTCTCTCAAGCTCAAGACCATCTGCCTCGTCGTCAAATTCTGGTAAGCGATATATCATCAGCTTTGCCTATTCCCTCAAGACTCTTAAGGGTATGTTATATCAGCGTAACCTTATGTTTGTCAGACAAATTTTGGCGTATTCCAAGTATTCAATAATCTCCCAATCAGAACGTGCAAGACTCGTGTATTCTCACGCTATTCGATTGGAAGATAATTGAATTGGGGCAGCTGTCGTACCCCAAATTTGCCCTACCTCTATGATCGTATTTTCAAGACTTAAAGATAAAAGAAGATATCTTAATTAAGGATGGTTCAACAATATCTGATGACTCATTCTTAAAATCCAAAACAAGCAGGGGGTAAATTTTAATTGAAGGGAATGGGGCTTCCTAAATCAGAAAGACCCATGTACCCATAAACCCATTCGCAAATCATGTTGGCCAATGGCCCGTGAGATTCGAATATGGGAAATTATTATAGAAATAATTATTAAAATCGTAATTATAAATTCCATTTAAGTTTTGTTGTTGCTAGTAAAAAAGAGTGAGAATGCAATTAGGAGCCCGTTTCGTTTGGCCCATTTCCACTTTCGTTATCCAAATAGCAAAGAGAGGGTGTGCGCAACATTTTTTTTTCGTTATCCAAATAGCAAAGAGAGGGTGTGCGCAACATTTTTTTGAGGTTTAATGAATCAGGCCCATTAAAAGCTGCTAAACTGATCCATTTGGCATTTTGAAAGAAAAAAAACATTTAATCAGTATATTACCCATGTTTTTTCATATATATATATATATATATATATATATATATATATATATATATATATATATATATATATATATATATATATATATATGTTTTATTAATTAATTTACGTTACAAATTATTAGTAATTTTAATAAAATATTTTATTGTATAATTAATTAAGAGAGTTTTTTGGAGAAAATATCTGATTTGAATCCAATTTTTGGGGCCCAATCCAAGATGCAGTAAAAGAAAAAACGTGTGGTTAAAAGTGTTGGACCAAAAACGTTTTGAGCCAAATTCATAATTCAGAAAAACGGCTACTGTACCAATTATCCTAAAAATACGTACGTTTCTTGCATAAACATTTACTGTAAAAATTATTACAAATCAAAATCGATCCAAGCCAAGAATTATTAAAATGAAACTCAAACTAAATCAAATCTCTTATTGCCAAAACAAAATCTCAGTCCAAACGATTTCGATATTACAGAATTAATCAATCAACTAACAGAACAAATCCATATATTACAACAAGTCTAAATCAATGACAAATCGTGAATCAATTACAGAGATTTCAAATCCCTAATTGTTTCTAATACTCCTAAATCTAGGCTAACAATTGTAACTGCAAAGCCCTAAAAACAACCTTATAAATACAAAGCTAAAAGTACAGAAGAGGAGGAGAATGAACAGAAGAGAGACGACTGATATACAGAGACGAATAGACAGAAGGCGTTCGATTACAAAATTGAAGACGGAAGGACTTGAAGAACAAAGGTAAAGAACAAAGTTGAAGAACACGGAGAACGTGTTACCGGATACATGCATATTCCGTAATAAGTTCCGTAACAATGTAAAAAACCCATGTTATATTCCGTAATAATTTCGTGAATGCATGCATATGTTAATTAACGTAGGTCAAGTTCCACGATACATCGTATACCCTCACCGAACCCCTTTCAAATTGCATTCCTTTAATCATTATTACTAAGCCAACAAATGATTTCCACCCCCAGGTATTTGGGCCTAACCTGACTTCTCATACCCTCATATCTTAACTTATCAACTAGAAATGCACCCCCTGTTTAACTTTAACAATTTTTCTATCTTTTTTATATTTTATATTATTATTATTTTTTATCATACATTAATCAAAAAATTTTACAATTAACATGATTAAAAAATGCCAATAAATATCAAACTATTTTTCGCAATAAACTAATCTAAACAACCTTTTTATTTTATTAAAGGATTCCAAACGAATTTTGACTAACCAGGGGTCTAACTAAAATTCTGCAATCTCTACCACCGGTCAAAATGCAGGGCGATTCAAAATACAATTGCAACCCCTAAAAAACACAAACCTAACGATGCTTCCAGTACAATTTATTTAAGGCAGACTCACAATATAGATAACAAAGATACTTCCAGTACAATTTATTTAAGGCAGACTCACAATATAGATAACAAAGATACTCTAATATAAACCAACGATACTTTTTCTTTCAATTAGTCAGTCTCATCACCTAATCCATACAACACACCTGAATACTTCTCCGTTTCGCCATTGAAGAAAGTATCACTCAATTCTCTAAACGCCCCAGCAGTAAGAAAACTATCGGATCCAGATTGATGGTCAACACCAACCCTTTCAACTTCCAACAATTCCACAAGCTTGTTCAGATCACCATGAATCCCGTTACAGAATTTCATCAAATGTTTGATATCATAAAGCATTGGAAAATAAATGTTAATCAAATCGAAGAACCCCGTTTGCCTATCCGGCAAAGTTCTGCAAGTCAAAAGCTTCAGCAGATAACCAAAACCATATCCACCGTAGAAAGTAATCCATTTTATGTTATCATTCAAAACCATTCCAGAAGACATAAGAAGCTTGCCGAATTGGTACTGGTCCCCGTCAATCCCAGTGAGGTCTTCGCTGAAATTAAACTGCCAGATGCAAGGATTCCCAGTGCCACAAGTAGGTAGGTTTCCGTTCTCATCAGAGAAAGTGAGACCTAACTGAATCAGGTTCAACATATCAACATTATCCTTCAAAGTCTGGTAGTTATAATCGGTAATGTGCTTGAAAACCCCTATAGGACGGAGAACAGCATCTGGAAACTTCATATCCATAGTAACATAGTTAAAATCATCAACGATTTTACGGATCAAATAAAATTCCTCTTCGAGATTATCCTTCCAAACCTCTCTGATTTGAACCGAATCGCCTTTCGATGATAAATTCGACATTTCAAGAGAATTGTTAACCAATCGAATCAAATCTGCAAACAAAAACACCTTCAGATCTCAAAACCTAACAAATCAAAAGCAACGAAATCAAAACAGCAAGTAAATTAACCTGAAGAGGAATCGAATCGAGAGCTTGAGGTAGAGAATCTGAAAGTCTGGTAGTTAAAATCATTGATATGCTTGAAAACACCTACAGGACGAAGAACAACACCAGGAAACTCTGTATCCATAGCTGCATAGTTGAAATCATCAACAACTTCACGAATCAACGCGAATTCCTCTACGAGATTATCGTTCCAAACCTCTCTGATTTGAACCGATTCCTCTTTCGATAAATCCTTAGACAAATCCTTAGATAAATCCTTCGATAAATCCTTAGATATATCCTTCGATAAATCCGACATTTCAAGAGAATTGATAACCAATCGAATCAAATCTGCAAAGAAAAACACCTTCAGATCTCAAAACCTAACAAATCAAAAGCAACAAAATCAAAACAGCAAGTAAATTAACCTGAAGAGGAATCGAATAGAGTGATTTGAGCTTCGAATCGAGAGCTTGGGGTAGAGAATCAGCTAGATCTGAAGCAAAAACAAGCGTAGAAACAACGTCAAAGAACGAAAAATTGAAACAATTAAGCTGAACTAGGGTTTGAAGTTGAACTAGGGTTTAAAGTTTGAAAAAAGTGAGAGCGAAAATCGAACCTTATAGTGAAGAAAACGAAGCTAAAGTATCACAGATCTTGAAAATTTGCATCGATTTGCGAGTCAACGAAACGGAACGATTGGGGGAGGAGCTATGAAATGGAAGAGACAGGAACTTGGGGTGCGAGGGTTGAGACTTGATTTGTACTCAGTGTGAGGAGTGGGGTCGTTTTGGGTAGGAAATATGGACACGGAAGTGTCGTTTACAACTGGGCTATTGGGATCGGATATGCGACGATTAGATATATGTCGTTAACGGGTGTAAATATCACATTATCGCCGACCTTGTTTATTTTTTATTTATTTTTTTGTTACGTCATTTCAATTATTTTTAGGCATGTTGGACTCTGGATTGCAATTTGACATGCTTTGTCATTTCATCTTGTTCTGGACTACTCGACAATTAGAATGAGTTCAGTCTAACTCTTTTTTTCAGTATGGTCTGCATAATCATACTCGAATTGTCCGTTCTCTATCGAATAATATCGATCCTTTGTCCTCTCAAGTCGATACTGGTTTAGGATGATCGACGAACATCTCTCAGTTTGCTCGACATTAAAGTCGTGCAGGTCATTAGGAACCGATCATAGAGATGCCCGTAATTTGCCTCCTCCTCGGAACCAACGGCTAGTTACGGGTACATCCGCCTGGTTTGATCAAGTCCTGACAGTTATTTGATTTTACGGACCCGCATATCCAGGCGTAAAATCAGGAACCAATGGTCATGCGTCAGGGGCATTATATAAACTCTCACACCTGTGAGGACCAGATATTAAATATTCATTATTCACCACAAATACCTTAACACTTTGTTTGTATCTCCTTGTTCTCACTCTTACTTGATCGTCGGAGTGTCTTGCAGATACAACCCCTTTTTTTCCTCCTCGACATCACAGCCCAACTACAGATTATCATCCAGCCACCTTGCAGGTTCTGATCAACCGGTAAGATCAGTGGCGTCGTCTGTGAAAAACTGCTCTCCCCATCTTTCTTTCCTCGAAACTCAAAGGTCAAAGCAACTTTTCAAGATTCTTTTCACAAATCATGGTCGACCATGATGATCTCCATCCGCTCGAAAAGGATGTCATTTCCCCTGCTCGCAAAACCGACGGAAGTCAGGAACATCCTCACCTCGAGGACAACCTAGGTTCCCGAGACGGACAGACTGCGTCTCCAGATTCAACTGACGCCCGACGCAGCGACGAACAATTCTTGGACAAGGGACGCCCCAAGAATCCCATCGAGGAACTGCCATAAATCATGCAACGAGTTCCCATCACTCTCAGCGTCGACCCGACAATTGTAGCATTGTCAGCTGCCATCAATCAGACCAACACCTTCATCCTACAGCAAAACCAGAGGATGGGGGCCTGGGAGAATAAGAGGTCGAGGTCTCCTCCTCAGAGAACCCGACGACGAGACTCCTCCAGTATATCACCGCCTAGGCGCGGCCCTCCACCAAGAAAGGAAAAGTGCAATGTTTCTTTCTTCAAGAAATGCGACCGCACACCTTCTGCAAAAGATCAAGACTCCTCTTCATCCAAGAAGAGGAAAGACGACCGACAAGTCAACCGTGCTCAATTACCTTCGCCTGAACCAAGATAGAAGCGGAAGAGTCCCTACCCCCGACGAGACTGCGATGATCGACGGGGCAGAAATTATCACTCCCATTCTCCTTCCTCCACAGATAATGAAGACGACGAGCCCCGTGACCCGCTATCAAGGGAAATTACAAAAGCATCACTCTCTGTCGGCCTAGAGAAGCCACCTCCGTTGGGAACCTACGATGGAACAACAGACCCCGACGAGCAAATTGAGAACATTAACGTTATCCTCGACTATTGAGGAGTCAGAGGGGCCATCAAATGCAGATTATTCCCAACCACTCTCAGGAAGGGAGCAATGTCTTGGTACAAGAGTCTCCTGGATGAATCCATCACCTCCTGGAAGCAGCTCAGGAGGATATTTTTGAGGCACTTCACCGCCTCTCGTCGACACCCGAAATAGGAAGTTTTGCTCAAAGCAATCATTCAGGGCAGAGACGAATCCTGGCGGGCATACATTGAACGCTTCAACAAGGAAGAAGTCCAGGTCTCAACGACCAACAACATGAAGAAATATCTCCTCGAGCGTGGGCTCCATCCCCGCAGTGACTTTGCCAAAGTTATGGGTATTGAGACACCGGCCACGCTCGACTCTCTCCTCCTTAAGGCCCAGGCATACATCCAGTACGAGAAAAAGGAAGTAGCCAACAGCACCAGGGAATCAAGGCACAGAGAGAGTGCCAAGTCCTTGAGGAATGACGAGCCCTTGCCATCCCGTCAGGGAGAAAAGAAACAGGAAGACAAGTCTCGGGATTCCAAGGACTACAAGGGGCCAGCCGGTCGTTTCCATGACTACACCCCTCTGACTACCTCAAGGGAGCGTATTCTTTCTGAATGCGTCAATTATGAGTTTAAGCAGGCTGGGGTGCGCTTCCCCTGATAAACACCGTCCAAATTGGGAACCAACAAGAGTAAATAGTACAGGTTCCACAAAAGTCACAGGCATAACACCGAGGATTTCATTCATCTCGAGGATGCGATCAAAATACTGATTCGAGATTGGGCACCTCAAATAATACAAAAAGAAGGAGGGCGCCCGCGAAGAAGCACCAGAAACCAAAAACGTCGAGGAATGGAAGAAGTCCCCCGACATCAACGTTATTCTGGTCGCCATGAGTATCTTGCGGCTGGAATATTTCTATTACCCGGACATGAAGAATGTCCCTCTGTACTTCTTCTCCTATAGTCCTTGGGAATCTTTCCCTGCAACCATGGTTATCTCCGACGGGGGATTCAACAGACACACGGTTGGGTCGGGTAAAAAGGAGATTCGACCAGCTCATCGAAGCCAACTCGTACATGGACTCCACACTCGACAAATTCCTAGGAGGCTCTCATCCCCTCGCCTTCTACAAGGAGGAGTTGCCGGGTGGAGCCCTGAACTCGACCATCCCACTACTCGTGAGAACTCGCATGGCGAATTTCGACGTGTGATGCATATTTGTCGACCAAGGTAGCTCGGTGGACATCATGTACACCCAGTTGTTCACCACTTTGCAGCTGAATGAAAGCCACCTGACCCCGTATGTGGGATCAAATCTTCAGGGCTTCAATGGAGCCAGCATGAAACCCTGGGGATATGTCGAGTTGATTGTCACCTTCGGGAGAGGGGTAACGGCCAGAGCCATCAAGACCTAATTTCTGGTAGTAGATTTCCCGTCTCTCTACCAGTGTGTTGTACCCCAAAATTTTCCCTCTCAATTTCTCAAAGATTCTCTCACAAGATCTTCATTGATTCAAGACTGCACCAAGATTGATCAGCTCAAGATACCTCCCCAAACACTGATGACTCAAAATTAGGGTTTGAGTTTGTATAAACAAAATTGGACCTTTAATGCTTCATATTATTTTCATAAATCATTTTGGACTCCCATGATTTCTCATGTCAAGTTTCAGGCTTTGGATCACATTTTTGCTCAGTCAATTGATCAGTTGACCTAAAACCAACTAATTGTGAAAAAAGTCAAATGTGGTCAATTTACAGTCAAAACTCATAATTTTTTATCCATATCAACATATTAAACTCATATGAACCATTTGGTCAATTTTGGATCACAACTTCTCAAGAAATTTGATCAGATCATCAAAAGGGCAAAATAGTCAAAATTAGGGTTTTGACTTAGAAGGTTCAATTTTTGACTTTTTGACCTAGCACATAACTTGTTGGTTTGAGACATGATATCAATAATCTAAATGCATAATTTTGACCTAATGGCATGGTTCAAAATATTTCTCAAGATCAATTGATTGATATTTGAGATTTGGTTAACTGATGAAAAAGTTAATTGTACATTGAAAAGTCAAACTTTGACTTTTAGATCAAAATAAAGTTTCAAAAATCATATTTCATCAAGACATGTCAAAGTATGAAGATTGTTCATCAAGAAATCAAAAGTCAATATTACTTTGAAAAAAGTCAAAGTTCTAAACACTTAGAATTTTTTTTAAGTGTTAAGAAAAATATGATAATTTCATAACTTTATGCCAGATTTTCACCATGATGCAAGATGATTCAAGAAAAACTTCCAACATGGAAGTTGTAGATCTCAATGAGATCAGAAACATTGTAGGGAATAACTTCTTCTATAAATGCTTGGATCTCAAGTTATAAATCCATGAAGACGTGTCCATGAAACTAAAACACTTAGTAAAATTATGGGCATTTTAAGTCAAAATTTTGACAGATCTTCTGGGCCAATTTTAATAAATTTACAATGGTAGTTTGTAAAAGTGATTCAAAGAGGGATTTCAAATCATGTTACAAGCTTTCTAAAAAGTCCAAGAACTCTTTCAGATCATGCTGGAGCAGGGAGAATCGAAGATCAGAAGTTTGACATTCATTCTTAAATTATGAATCATTTTCATGATGAACATCTGATCCAATTCCAAGCAATGCTGCATAATCCCACTTTTTAGGCCCTCTAACGTGTGTATCTATCCTTAATCAGAAGATTACACAAGCTTTTGAGATATGAACCACTTGATTTAAGCTTTGTCCAATACACCTTGCCATTTAATGAAGAAAGTTCACACTTTCATTCTAAAAAAGTGACTTTAATCACAAAGTCCACTCTCCTTGAGCTTTGTGTTTGTTCT